GGGTTCTACAAATAAGAGATGAGCTTATAGAAGTATCATTGTTGCAGTGTACACAGTATGCCCCATTTTCTTTCAGAAAACCCAATGAGTAATCATTCAGCTATTCAGAACCCTATTTTAGGCAAAGTTCAAGGCAGTTTAGAATACCACTGTGGCTTAATTCTAACCGTTTTGGTTGGGGGTATTTGCTTTGGTTGTTTTTTCTTTGCCTCTCTTCTCCTGTTGAATGTTAGCTTTGCTATGGAAATCTTCAGTATTAAGCTCGAGTTCCTCTACACCTGTGGTTCTCAAGCTGTGGGTCTCCAGATGTTTTGGTCTTCAACTCCCAGAAATCCTAACAGCGGGTAAACTGGCTGTGATTTCTGGGAGTTGTAGGCCAAAACACCTGGAGATCCACAGGTTGAGAACCAATGCTCTACACCATAGAATCATAGAGCTAGAAGAGATCTCATGGGACATCCAGTCCAACCCCCTGCCAAGAAGCAGGAAAATCACACTCAAAGCACCCCCAACAGATGGCCATCCAGACCGATTAAAAGCCTCCAAAGAATGAGCCTTCATCACACTACAGAGCAGAGAGTTCCACTGCTGAACAGCTCTCACCGTGAGGAAGTTCTTCTTCATGTTCAGGTGAAATCTCCTTTCCTGTAGTTTGAAGCCATTGTTCCATGTCCAAGTCTCCAGGGCAGCAGAAAACATGCTTGCCCCCTCCTCCCTATGACTTCCCCTCACAAATTTATACATGGCTATCATGTCTCCTCTCAGCCTTCTCTTCTACAGGCTAAACATGCCCAGCTCTTTAAGCTGCTCCTCATAGGGCTTGTTCTCCAGACCCTTCATCATTTTAGTTGCTCTTCTCTGGACACATTCCAGCTTGTCAACATCTCCCTTCAATTGTGGTGCCTTGAATTGGACACAGTGTGTTTCCAGTTGTGGTCTGACCAAGGAAGAATAGAGGGGTAGCATGACTTCCCTGGATCTTGACACTATACTCCTATTTACGCAGGCCAAAATCCCATTGGCGTTTTTAGCTACCACATCACATTGTTGGCTCGTGTTTAACTTGTCCATGAGGACTTCCAGATCTTTTTTACATGTACTGCTTTCCAGGCATCCCCTAGACTGTATATTTGTATTTCATTTTTTCTGCCTAAGTGGAGTATCTTGCATTTGTCTCTGTTGAACTTCATTTCGTTAGTCAGAACCTGGTTGTTCTGAATTAGTCTCTACAAACTAGAATAAACCCAAGATTTGGGATTGGTGAAAGCTTGGCACCAAACTTGACACAAGAAAGAATTACAAATTTGTGAATTACATTTATTCACGTATTTGTAAACAGTGGTTTATGAAACCATCTATCTGCAGGAAGTAGATCTCGCTAGACGCGCCTGTGCTTTGGGATCCAGTCTCAATGTGGAGTTGCTTTTAAAGATAATTTTAAAATTTCAGCAGGTACAAAGAACAATGAAAGAGTTGCAAACTGGAGATCACTGATCAGGACATGTAACAGCTATTAACCATGAAAGCTATGGTGCAAAGGTTGCCAGTGTATTACCAGACCCAAATTAATGTGCTGGAGATTACAACTAAAGGGTTTTGCCTTTTCAAGAGACGATTTTGTCAACACTGGTTATTAGTATGTTTGAAAACATATCTGTCTTCAGCTGATTGTGTATTATCCTTTCATGGCAGAACAGGACCTTCATCATCTGGAAGAAAGAACTGAATCAACTAAATTGTTCTAGAGATCTGGAAAGATACTTTTTTTCCACATGAATCTCACCTCTCATCCATAGGGTTACAGTAATTTCAATAGGAAGAAGCCAATATATATGTCAAAGAAATATACACATGAAGGAGTTGATGCTCCTGCTTTGGGAATGTGTTACCGGATTAGGCTGGAAGTATTTATTACATTAATTGATTTATTCTCAGTTGTTCTCCTGTGTAGGATCCAAGGTGGCATGTGGTAGTCTTGATTCAAACGAAGCGAAGTCTCACACATTGGGGAGTTCACGATCTTTAGCAACAGACTATAAAATGGAATATTTCAACCAGCAAAAGCATTGATGCCACACCTTCAAAGAAAAAAAAACACCTGTCAAGTATCTTTGCGCCACTGCTTTAGCTTTAATTTAGTCTAAGTTAAAAACAAAATCCAAAAAAATACACTCCAACAAATAAAATAATTTAGTTAGATTTTTCACTCGTGTTATGCAGGTTACAATTAAGCAATGGCGATGTGACAGTAAATTACACTTTACAACTAACAGTGAAATTAAAATTCTGTAAAAACTAGTGCCTGAATGGCATGTACCGTCATATCAGTAGGAACACATACAAATGTAGAGATTGCTTCTAACAGTGAAATCTAACTCCTTGTTATCCTAAAATGGTCTGTTGTCATAATTTTTACCATTTTTTGTGTAGATTTTTTTTCAAGAATCAAATGCAGAGTGTGGTTTATGAGAAACTAGTGCTGGTGACATGGCATCACCCAGGCTGGTCCTCTTTGTTTATCTCACTTCAAACAACAGACTTGCCTTGTAAAAAACAACAACACACCTGCATTCACAGCCTTTGGCAAATGAAGAAAAAGCTTAATTCATTACACAATGCTTCCAACCTCACACATCAAGAGGGTTTGCACAAGAGACCTTCAGGGCCATTTTACGTGTTACACTTTTTGGTGTATGCCCACAATTTTTGTAAAGGGTGCACTTGAAACACAGTGTGTTGACCATTTTTAAAAAAAATATTAATGAACTGGGGCAAGTACATGTTCAGAAATGCAAGTTCTACTGGTATGCTAAGCAGAGAACCAGGAGTAGCTGACAACTCCTCTGTGGCACTTTCAAGTTTGTTGTCATGTAATGCATGTAAAGGACTTCCTCTCTTTCCCCCCAGCACTTGAGTACTGCTGCTCATGTCTAATCTGGGTAGAACATATTAGGCACCCATTTGGAAATCTGATCGATGATCTTATTGAAAAGTGGATTTGCATTCATGTATGGCGTTTGATGGCTATTTTACTACCATGTTCAAAAGGTCATGTTCAAATTTTGGTCATACATGTTGGAAGAGATAAATTGGCTCCTTTCTGGAAATTAAGCATCTTCCTAAGCTTACCTCTTGGGACAGGTGGCCTCTTTTAGTATAAAAGATGGTGCAATTTGCATAAGAACTGCTTTCCTAAGTGAGAAATGCTTCACTACACAATGCTCATAGGAATAGAGCATTTCTCACAGAATTATAAAATTGTAGAGTCAGAGGGGAACTCAATGCTGAGGGGTTTTTTTCGTGTCAGGAGCAACTTGAGAAACTGCAAGTTGCTTCTGGTGTGAGAGAATTGGTTGTCTGCAAGGACATTGCCCAGGGGACTCCTGGATGTTTGATGTTTTACCATCCTTGTGGGAGGCTTCCCTCATGTCTGCATGGGGAGCTGGAGCTGACAGAGGGAGCTCAACTCGCTCTCCCCGGATTTGAACCAGTGACTGGTTTAACCCATTGTGCCACCAGGGGCTGAATGCTGAGGTTTAACCCATTGAGACTTAAGAAGCCTTGTCCAAAATGGCAGGAGAGGTATGTTTAATTCTAGACACTATCCACTGCAGAATGCTTTCCCAACATTGGCATGTACCTTCCAGGAGAAACATGTCTACTCATGAGATCAAAAGATTCAGGTGTGGGGGATTTCCTATCTTCATGTCCAGTGGCCTATTGCAACCACAGCTACCTATGTATGTTTATTTACTTAAAACCGTTCTACCTCATATTTCCCCATTGCAATAGGCAGCTTTGTAAGGGTATTCTTTCAGGTGATGTAATGCCATCTCAATATGTATATATACAGAGCTTAGAAAGTTCCTTTTTGAATATAAAACATTATGTAATTCATTATAAAGCCTCTCAAAAGTAAGTCACTTCTGCTAACAATACACATTTTAAAAATGTAAGTTACTCATTGGGTTGCTTGTTTTGTTACTAGTAACTTCTTTGTTACTTAGAACTCAACTAATTCCTTAGGATTAATAAAACTGCAATAACATTTTAAAATCCTATACCTTTGAAAGGTAATTTTTAAAAGCAGGTAAGACATGTCTCTCCATCCCAGCAGTTTATAACCATCATATTACTTTTGAAATTTCACTTGATTTTTACTGCAAAAAAGGCAATTCATGACATGTAACCAGGTTATGTGTAACGTCCAAGCTCTGTATAGATACCACATTCTGTGTCACTTGTGAAACCGTCCTGAACAATCCCAACATTCTTCATGCCATCTCATACTCATTCACCAGAAAATAAGTCCTCTTTTTTAAAAAATGGAGGATGTTTTGTTTTTCTAGCCTGATTGAACATAAATGATTATATCCTTGATTTTTGTTTGCTTTTTTTCTTTAAAAAAGGCCATTATTATTTCAACTTTGCAAACATCGGGATGAAGGGACACTTTGAAGCTTCAGCACCAGAAGAACAACAAGGAAGAGTGCAGAGAATGGCTCCATTTGGAAGCACAGAGCAATATTTAACAACAACGATCATTGTTCTGTTTCTTAACGAGTTGCTCCAACATCCATTATTTGAGGAGTCTCACAATGATTTCATTACATTAATTGCTTGCACAGGATCCACACCGCTTCTTGGGTAATTTGAAGAAAAACACACCAGCAGCATACATTAGCCAACATCACAAGGAGATGCCTGAAACCATGAGATTCTTCTCATCAGACAACATCCGATTTAATCCTGCTTTTCTTCCACCAGCGCAGAGTCTCCTGCCCAAATCCATTCTCATCTCAGAGGATGACATTGCCTCCGTTGGAGCATTTCGGTTCTGGTCCAGCACCATCACTGAATTAACCAGTCCCAACCACAGCACAATTATAATTGGAAGATTGTCAGGTGTTTGTTCTTGCTGTGCCTTCCCAGGGTTCCTTCACATCTACACACATCTTCTTGTGGTCCTGGGAAGTCTTTTTCTGTTTTGTTTCATGATCTCTGGTGTTGTATAGGCTCATTCCTCTGAGAGAAGAACAACAGGCTCTTGCCGGTTTCCTGTGAGTCTCAGCTTCCACGGGAAGCGGATACTTGGCAGATTTGCAAGGAACGTGACAAATCAACTGTGGAAGTTCTGCACAATGGTCTGTTTCTGAGAGAGCCGGAGGAGCTCCTCCCGGATTGCTTTGATGAGAGAGGCCGAGGAGTGTCCTGGCTGCTGGAGGTCCTCAGTGGAGCTGGTGTTGTAGCAGAGCCCCGTGCCCTGATGGTTGCTGTGTGGAAGCTGAACAGGAGGCGCTGAGGGCTGCCGGGCCGAAGTCCTCGGCATCGGGAATACTGGTGAGGAGGAATATTCTGGAGGTCCAGGCATATGTGTCTGGGGAAAGGCACAAAACATTACTGCACTCGCTGCTTGGGAGGCACAAATAATAATACATTTTAAAAGACATGAATGCGCAAACAGTGGAAAGCACAAACAGTGAAAAAGGCAGAAATGAAAGCAGTTTTTTCTTGGATCTAAAATGCAGATCTGTAAAACTGAGTGCAGTATAAACCCTGTGTCTATTAGTTTCACTTATCCATGTCCAAAAACCTATGCTCTCTGTAGAAGTTTTCAAGGTCCTCTAGTGTGATTCAATGGCAGTGGTTTCCAGCCTTTGGTCCTCCAGGCATTTGGGACTTCAACTACCCAAAGCTTTAATGTGCTGTAGCACGTACTCTGGCCTTGTGGTACTATAAGATTAACACATTTATTACTGCATACTTTTCATGGGCTAGAGCCTATCAACTTCAGTGTTTTACATTCTGTACAATTCCTACACCTATGCATAGCTATATCACTTCCAAATTCATGAATTTGATGAAGTGGGATTCTAGCTCATGAAACCTTATTCCAGCGAGTCTTTAACATACTCTTAGTATATTGTTCATTTATTTTTGACATGCGGATTTATGGTAGTGCTTGTAAAAAGACCATCTACTTGATCAGGGACTATATATATATGCTGCTTATTCAAATCAGATCAAAGTGTGTGCTTATGCAGACTATACATTTTGCAGCTGACGACAGGAACACTAAATTGAAAAACAGGCATTTAGCTAATCTAATCAGGGCTACTAACTCAAAACAGCGAAGAGATTTGATGACAAAAGGGAATAACTTCCTTCAAAACACAGAAAGGTAAGTAAAAGAACAGAGGGCAATCATATTGCAACCAATAGGACTACAGTAATATGTTTAAATGTGTAAAGGTATTTATTTATCAACTGCCTCTGTTTCCACATGCTTTTGAAAAGAAGTCCCACCTCTACCTCCCCCCCCCCCCACACACAAAATATACAGTGTTTTCAATGTAATATAATTTAAGCAAGACACTTGAAATAGGCTGAAGGTAGAAAGGACTAACATGTAAGGCTGCGAAGCAACACTGGACCAACACAATTAGCAATAGCAAAGGTAAACAGAAGAGGCAGAGATGTAACTTACTTCTGTGTAAGAGAAAAACAAGCAGAGAGACTCAGGGATATGCTTCTGAATACAGTACAATTGTATAGCTAACTCAGACCTGACCACAGAATCAAAGAGTTGGAAGAGACCTCATGGGCCATCCAGTCCAACCCCCTGCCAAGAAGCATAATGGTGTCAGAGGTTGTGGTGCTGAAACTTCCATGGATAAAGTATTAGTTCTTTATCCCACAGGAAACTGGGGACTGTCCAGGTAGGACAGTCACTCACAAAAACACATTCTTCATTGACTGGAAAGTTTGGAGAAACGAGAAGGCCAATCAGGGTCCACCAGCTATTCTGACTAACATATGGGGATTTCTCCTTGGGCAATCTTACACTTGCACTATCATCAGGATATGTCTTTAGCCTACCTACTACTTCTCTTCCTGTTATCACCCCATTCTCCTAACACATGTTTTTGTTTAGCCTTTAACATTAGTGCCTGATTATTAGCATCAGAGCTAGAACACTTATGATTTCACATAAGGACAAAACAAACTTCAAAAGGCTGGCCAGCACCCAGCTCTTCCTTACACGTACCATACATTTTGCCAAAATAAAACTGGTTTGTGAAAGTAAAACTCAAAAGGAGGAAAAACAACAAACATAACATTTTTTTCCAAAAATATATACCCAGGGCACTTTCTAAGCTCTACAGCCAAGGTTTTCCAGTTGTAAGAAATGACTGCTCTACTGACATCAACCGGAGACTTTGGACCTTTTGGGAAGGGGTCTACATTGGTCTATGAAGGATAATGTCAGGCAAGGACAGTCCACTAAGAGCACAATGCAGGGGTGGGGGAACTTGCATGTTTGATTTCAGCTCCTATCATCTCTCACCACTGGCCCAGGCTGATGGGAGTTTGAGTCCAACATCCCGTGACAGGCCATGATTTCCTCACCTCCAATGAGAGCCAAGAGTAAGAAAGAAAAGGACAGAGAAAGCAGAGTTTCAAGGGCTGGACTGTGAAAGAGACAAAAGCAGCAGCTAAAAGTCAGAGGAGCAAGTTGTTTTTTTTTTTTAAGAAAAAGATTTTTTGGGAAGGAACTCCCAAAGCAGCACAGGGTGAAAACAAAATTTTTAAAAAGTGAACACAAGACTGCTCCAGAAACTATTCAAACACGAAGCACAGTACTCACTGCATCTCTCCTAGCATATTCATCCTCTCCACGATACGGGGGCCACCCTGGTTCCCCCGGCTGGCCATGCCCTGCTCTGCCTGAGGGGATCTCCACTTGTTGACCTCCGATCCTGCTAGCAATTCCCACCTGAGTGAGGTGCTGTATCTGAGAACCTTAAAAGCAAATATTGTTTGTTTTTTCTTTCATTTTTTCCATGCAGCAACAGAAGTGTGTGCGTAGGGAGGGAAGATATAAACTGATTATGAAGTGGTGGTTGTGATGAAGAAGAATATAAGAACACAAAAGTACAAGAGGACTGAGATGTGTGGGAAATGTGAACTCTGAACTTTTAAAAAATTAAAAGCTTTTTTTAAATTTACAAAGCAGTATATTGAACTAGGGGCAAGTTTAAATACTATCTGCATGCAAGTGCTCAATAAAGTCCTTTTACATATGGAAGATGTCGCTTGTGTGGTTCAAAATTAGGCTATTTATTTATTTACTCACAAATAAATAAATAAGTTTATGCTGTTCATAAGCATGGTGCATTGGAGAAGTGAAGAAGAAAATGGGAAGAGGCCCAGATAACACTTCTGGCTCACTGAGCCTAATCACTACCCCAGTCATTTCTTAAAATGTGCAGTGTTAAAGAATATCCCTTTAGCTTTGCATGCTAGTGATTTGCCCTTAGTGGTAGAGGGAAAATATTTGCTTACTGCAGGACACTCAGCGGTACAGTAGTAGCAGGAGTCCAACTAGGGGACAACAATGTGGGTGTAAATAGATGGCTACACCATTCTTCCACCAACTCTCTGGAACTGGAGAGGCAATCACTGTAGTGACCTGGTATTACCTTGCAGATGTCCTCAGAGCTGCTCATACTCATAATTTTGTACAAAATGCATACCAACTACTACTGATATTAGAACAATGCTGTTATTGTGTGACTTCAAGTGATTTCCAACTCATATCAACCTTGTTCTTGGGTTTTCTTGGCAAGCTTTGTTTTGCAAGGGGTTTGTTTCTGCCTTTCTCCGACGCTGAGGGAGAATGATTTGCCCAAGGTCATTCAGTGGGTTTGCACATCTGAGCAGGAATTCAAACTTTGGTCTCCAGGGTCATGGTCCAACACTCTAACGGAAACACACCATGTTGACTCAAATATAAATCCACACATAAGCTAAGATTTGGAGAGAACCTGACCTTGCTTTTATTTACTTTGAAAGAGAAATCAAGGATTAGTCCACCTTTCCTAAATGAGATGACATGTATTTTATAAGGGCATATATGAACTTCTTTATAACATTTAGCAGGAAAAGTTGCCTTCTGCTGGAAAGCTAACTCTAGCACCTTTAACTGGAATGGTTCCTAGATGGCAATGACACCTCTGTAACTGATGGCAGTGAAAGCAGTGTTGACCCCATTGCTGATTCCAGGACAGCCTCTTCTTTTCCTCATTTTATAAATTAAAAACTCTATCTGCACCTGTATGTCAGAAACAAAGTAACACTAACCCCAGATAAATTATGGGAAACTATTTTGGGGAAAGCAGAAAGATTTCCTGTGAGGGGGAAAAACCTGTATGACTGTATTGTATGTCTTCAGGAAATAGTCATGCATTCCAACTTGCACCTGCTACAGACATGTATGTGATGTACTAAGAAGTCAACATGTCCACAACCGATTTCCATCACTAGAGCTGCTGTCTGAGATGTGTTAAGATAGCTTTGGCTATATATTGTTCTCCTTTATATCTGAAGCTGGAGAATCAATGTTACAAACATTCATATATTGATATCTATCTATCTATCTATCTCCAATATCATTATGTATTTGACACATATGGGCAGAGGTACCCAAAGGACTTGGGGGGATGGCTCCCCCACCCCAACAGTGTTAGTCTCAGAGTAATAATAGCTGCCTACTTTTAATGGAAAGAGCATATACAACTTGCATGTAGTTATGCAAGGAACTTATACATAGAGCTAAAGGGCACCCATCATGTTCCTCATTAGGGAACTATCTTCGTTATCACAGCTATTTATAGTAAGTCAGTGGTTCTAACCTAGGGTCCCCAGATGTTTTTGGCCTTCAACTCCCAGAAATCCTAACAGCTGGTAAACTGGCTGGGATGTCTGGAAGTTGTAGGCCAAAACACCTGAGGACCCACAGGTTGAGAACCACTGTAGTAAGTGCTGAATTGGAGAATGTGGCCAGGAAGTATGGGATGGAAGTCTCTGTAGCATATAATAGTTAGGAATCCTTAAGTACCTGCAGTGCTTCCAACTGGTCGTGGTCGAGCCACGGATGGCATTTCCTCTGGGTAGATCCCTCTAGTGGAATACTGTATATCAGATGACTGCTGGTCCGGGTGTATTAATTCGACAGGAGGAAGGAAACCTGGCCCCAGGTTTTGCCTGCTGGTAGAGTAAGAATAGAAACATAAAATTATAGAGTTGGAAGAGACCTTGTGAGCCATCCAGTCCAATCCCCTGCAAAGAAGCAGGAAAATCGTATTCAATATGCCTCCTGAAAAAATTGCAGATTCCAAAACATACAATTGCCCCCCCCCTTCCAATTCACTAGGTGCAGGTCTTCATTCAGCTATGGACTATGAACATATACCTGCCTAGGATCCACCGCACGATACCATGACAGCCCAGTTCTACGGCTGCTTCAGTTATAACAGATGCTGTATTTTAAAGATCTAGCAAAAAAGTCCTTTATACCCCCCCCAAACCTCTGAAAAAGATACCAAAAAATGCCCAAAAATTAGTCAAAAAGGCCAGAAGAGAAACGATATCACTTCTGCTGTGCCAAAATGTGATGCTATGGCTTGGTAGTGGGAAGCAACTGAGGCGGAAATGGCATTTGCCCCATTTAATTTCACTTCACAATTTTTATTACATTACTAAGAAGAAAAGGGGCAATCACCCCTTCCCCTGCCCAATTTGTTATTTCAACAACTGCTTTTTAACTACTTGACTGTGATAATTTTATGCTACCTCAGCAACCTTTTTTAAAAAAAACCAAACCCTTCCTTTGATCTTGAATTTGAATGAGTCTTCTGCACAAGCTGCACAATGAATGAGAATGAGAACATCAAACAGGCATTTCTTGGTGAATGACTTTACAGATTAATTTATTTTTCTTTTCGTGATACGAAATGAATTTGTAAACAACAACTACAAAAGCTATACTGTTTAGGCCAGGTGTAAAGATAATTTAGCGTTGACCTTTCTGACTTTGGCAGGGGGGAAGACTTTTCAATCCCACCGCTGCGACCAGTATAATATAATTTAGACTATACGTGACGTAACTCGCCGCTGGACACCACTGTAAAATAATTAGCGGCTGACCATAGGTTAAATATATCAATGACCGATGTTTCTGGTAGAATTAGCTGCCACCACCTCAGCTTTATTGGTCTGAGGAACCAAAGGTGTGAATGTATTGTAGGTAAGGTGTGTTTGCCCTTGGTTCTTCTATTGCTTCTTCACTGGCTGACTGGACTTTAAAGAGATTTCTATTATTGACTTGACTTAGTTCTGAGGAGATTGACAGACTGAAGCTGACACCAGTTAAAAATGAACTAGAAAAGGTTTATTGATCTTTAAACAAATATCAACTCAGAAAATGAGCGGTACAAAAGCTTGATTCAGTTGTAGAGACTTAGTTGGGTTAAACAAATAGTTCCACTGACAGTAAAGCTTTTAAACTGTGAGTTTCCTTAAACACACTGCTCTATTCTTAGAAACAGTATCACTTAGAGAACAGATTCCTATCTGTCTCACACACAGGGCAATAAGCTCTCTTATACTTTCCCTAAGTATAAGAAGACAAGTCTTTCTTTTACTGGCCCTCTCAACACAGTAAAACCCTAGCCCTTGTCTCAACCTTATTCCCTATCCTTAAGGCTCACTTAAAAACTCTTCTTTCTCTGTCAGAACCCTATTTAGCTTCCTCTCCTAAAAATCCCTTCCTTCTGTGTCTGATGTCAAGACACTTCTCCCCCTGGTCAAAAGCTGACAGCCTCTTTCCCTCTCTCAACCGACTCCTCCCCTAATTGCTCTGACCAATCAGGAGTCGGCTTGACTCCTCCTCCTGCTTCTGCCTGTCTTTCAAGATGACAGCCACTGATACTCAGGCTTCGGCCTGGTCGCCTTAAAGGTAGATTTCACTACATCCCTCCCTGCCTTAAGTTCTTTCTGTAAGATTTCAGACCAGGTATTCTGGTCTACTAGGAAGCAGCACCATGAGGGTGTTTCACTGAAATTGACATTATGATTTTGTTACTATTGTATGCCTTTAACTCAGTGATTCTCAACCTGTGGGTCCCCAGATGTTTTGGCTTTCAGTTCCCAGAAATCTTAACAGCTGGTAACCTGGCTGCGATTTCTGGGAGTTGTGGGCCAAAATACCTGGGGACCCACAGGTTGAGAACCACTGCTTTAAGTCATTTCTGACACATAACAACAAGATGAATGTGTCAGAGGGCTTTCTTGGGAAGATTTGTTCAGAGGGGGCCTGCCATTGCTTTCTTCTGAAGTTTAGAGCATGGATTTCCATGGCTGGGTGGGGCTTTGAACTCTCGTCTCTCAGGATCCTAATCCAATGCTCACAGAATCATAGAATCATAGAGTTGGAAGAGACCTCATGGGCCATCCAGTCCAACCACCTGCCAAGAAGCAGGAATATTGCATTCAAAGCACCCCTGGCAGATGGCCATCCAGCCTCTGTTTAAAAGCTTCCAAAGAAGGAGCCTCCACCACACTCTAGAGCAGAGAGTTCCACTGCTGAACGGCTCTCACAGACAGGAAGTTCTTCCTCATATTCAGAAGTTCTTCCTCATGTTCAAACCATTATATTACACTGGCTCTATTCTTCTTGAATGATTTATTCTTGTACAACTGCCTTGATGTCAGGTGGAGTCCAGAAAGGGATATATGTATGTTTTACATGGATCCAGGAGGATGATTACCAGGTTATCAATCTGGATGGCTGGAATTGGCACAATAGAATAATAAAACTTTATTTATATTCTGCTCTATCTCCCCAAAGGGACTCAGGGCGGATACCAAACATAAAAAGCAAACATTCAATGCCCGAATACAACAACAATACATCCATACTAACAAAGTTTATACAACCCAATATATACATACAAATTATAACTAAAATTAAATAAAAAGCACAGCCTGTTATAACAGACACAAGACAAAATATCAAACATCAAATAGAAACAATAATAGAAGTTCCCATGTCCCATTCTCAAACTGCACACAGTATTTCAGAAGAGTATCTCATGGTCACACCATGACAACTGCATTGACTAGCATAGGGAGGAGTGTTGGAACATGAATTTGGCCACTATCAAATTCCTCACACCTGGCTAACATAAGCAAACATTGCAGAAAAAATGATCTAAGCTTCCTTGTGTCTCAGCTCTGGGATTCTAATGCTGAACTTAGAATGATGCTGCTAATGCAGCTAACAACAATGATGATAATGATCACATAGGGTCTCATACCCTGCAAGTCTGTTGTTCTTTTCCTGTCAAATTTCAGAGTATCTATAGCATTTCAACATAATGGTAGAATTTCAGACACAGGAATTTTGGATGCAATGGGATCTTTTATCAGCTTTGAGGCAAATTAAGAGGGTAAAGTTGGTCTCATAAAATTATATCTGAGGAAGTAGAATAATAGAATCCTAGAGTTGGAAGACACCTCATGGACCATCCAGTCTAACCCCATGCCAAGATGCATGAAAATCGCATTCAAAGTACCCTAACGTTTATGCTATCTGCAAGATGCCTTTGCATGTCATTCTACTGCACATTAAAACCACCAGTTGCCAATGACAAGGGCAGGAGTGTATATTGTGTAAAACTAAATACTAGCAAGAACAAAACAGAATAGCTTGACTGAAAACTGTGGTGCTGTCTCTCTTGCAATGTCTCGATAGGATCTCAAGCTCTGCCTTAAAATTAGGGAGGAGGATATAATAACCATCTGTGATAACAATCTCCCAATCTTGTCTAAGCATGTTGCTATTTTTAGAAAGGCACTAATATTGACAGAAAGAGACAAAACAGTCAGAGAATTACCTTTGTAGCAGGCCTGGTGCTGATGGAGGAGTCATACCAAATTCCATGTATCTCTAAAAATAATAATAAAATAAAATAGATTTAAAAATGAATGCTTTAATTCAGCAGGCTTGGATCTTGAAATGATCCTAAACATAGGCTTGCTCACCGTGTGACTTGGGCCATATGGAGACCCCCACTGGCTGCTTGGGGTGTCCCTTGCTGTACGAACTGGAGTGTTTGTTGGTTGCCCCCCAGACCCTCCAGGGTGTGTAATGGCAGCAGAACTGGATCCTTGGCTACTGGGGGCCACCAGAGCAAAAGCATCATCCAGGAGAGAATGCATTGTCTGCCGGGCCTCTTCGATGGACGGTTGAGGAGGGATGTACTGAGACGTGTGAAGAGGCAAGCCGGAGAACTTCCCCAATTCAGTTGAAGAAGTTGTCTGAGGCTCAGCAGGAAGGTCAGGATCAGACTAAAAAGAGAACAGAAAGCTGATGAAATGTCAGCCTAAGTAGCTGGAATGTTAAAATTCCCATTACTTGGACTGTGATTTCATGTGTTACAAGTGATATTAACTCTATGTGATGTCTATCTGTATATTGGCTAAGATCCTACATCAAGCATGAACACATAATGCTCTGTGTTCAGTTTCCACACATGTCTCTTTGGGTAGGATGCAAGGGATATTTTCTAGCCCTTTGTGCCACATTTAAAATATCCTCCTAATGGCTGTGAAGCTCTGAGATGGGCTACTGAGATGAGGAAGGGAAGGTGTACCAAAGCATCTCATATGATGATGAAGGACCAGATTGTCTCAGCTCAGAGGGTGAAAAGAATGGGAATGTGTTCAAAGATGAAGTGCACCCTCCTTGTTGTGCCTTCTTGCAATTCTACACCTTTCCATCATTAAGGTGCACCACAGCATTCCCTCCCAGGCCTGGCAAAACTGAGAGGGGGGAGCATTTGGATGTTACACAGAGGACAACAGAATAGCATCTTGGCCATACATGGGTATAAGCCATACTTATATTCATGTGTCACTAATGGGATTCTGGCCATTATGAGATACGTGCATGAATCAATCAATCAATCAATCAATAGCAGCATTCTCTTCTTCGGAAGCAGGTATGTGATGGCTTGCTGCCTGATCCAGAAAGCATTATGACAGGGAGGGAAACAGAAAGCAAGCTACCCATAATTTTTCACTCAATTATGTCACTGTTAGCATATTTACACTGTATCCATTATCCAGTCATTCATTCTAATGTCAGAATTATTATCCTGTATTTGTGCCTTTACTGCAGGGAAGATGAGGCTAAAAATAGAAGATGCAAAAAGAAAATGAAATTCACTGAATATGCTGATACTATACTAAGAATGCTTTTTTAAAATAACCAAGCTGAGGACCAGCTCATAACAACTTTGAATAACCAGCCAGACAATCTGCCTGATCATAGAATCATAGAGTTGGGAGAGACCTCATGGGTAATCCAGTTCAACCCCCTGCCAAGAAGCAGGAAAATCAAATTCAAAACACCCCCAACAGATGGTCATTCAGTCTCTGTTTAAAAGCCTTCAAAGAAGGGCCCTCCATCACACTCAAGGGCAGAGAGTTCCACTGCTGAGCAGCTCTCACAGTCAGGAAGTTCTTCCTCATGTTCAGGTGGAATCTCCTTTCCTGTAGTTTGAAGCCATTGTTCTGCATTCTCATCTTCAGGGCAGAGGAGAACAAGTCTGCTCCCTCCTCCCTATGACTTCCCCTCACATATTTATACATGGTCATCATGTCTTCTCTCAGCCTTCTCTTCTGCAGGCTAAACATGCCCAGCTCTTTAATCCACTCCTCGTAGGGCTTGTTCTCCAGGCCCTTGATTATTTTAGTCACCCTCCTCTGGACACATTCCAGCTTATCAATATCTCCCTTCAACTGCGGTGCCCAGAACTGGATGCAGTGTGATTACAAGTGTGGTCCGACCAAGGCAGAATAGAATAGAGATCCATGACTTTCCTGGATCTAGACACTATACTCCTATTTCTGAAAGCCAAAATCCCATTGGCTTTTTTTTGCCGCCACATGACATTGTTGGGTCCATGTTTAACTTGTTACCCACGAGGACTCCAAGATCTTTTTCACATGTACTGCCCTCGAGCCAGGTGTCCCCCATTCTGTATCTTTTCATTTCATTTTTTTCTGCCTATGTGGAGTATCTTGCATTTGTCCCTGTTGAACTTCATTTTGTTATTTTTGGCCCATTTCTCTAATCTGTTAAGATCATTTTGAATTCTGCTTCTGTCTTCTGGAGTATTGGGTATCCCTCCCAATTTGGTGTCATCTGCAAACTTGATGATCTTGCCTTCTAAACCTTCATCTAAGTCATTAATAAAGATGTTGAACAGAACCAGGCCCAGGACAAAACCCTGTGGCACTCCACCCATCACTTCTTTCCAGGATGAAGAGGAAATCTTCTTCAGTATCTGGTTAGACTTAGTTACACACTCCAGTGTAGCCTAAACCGCTACAAAAGATCACTACTTTTTAAAAAAGATTAGCAGCCTGATGCCCTCCATATAGTTTGAACAATGATTATCTTTGCTCCCAATCATAGTTGTTATCTGTGGCTAATGGGAATTGTTTTTCAACACAACTAAGAGGCACCTAATTGCCCATAACTGCTTTGCATGACAATTCTTCTTAGGATATCCTCGCAATATTCCACTCCAGTGCTTTAAAAAATCTAAATAAAATAAAAACAAAAACATGAACTCACAATATATGCAGAATTGTTGACTCCAGGAGGCCTCTTATATGTCCCATCACTGTCAGTGGTTATTAGGCGGTCCTTGTCAGCATCCATTGGACTCCCATTAATCTGGTGTCTCCGACGCTGTCTTGGAGAACGTTTGGCCCTTGAACTATGAAGAAATAAAATGAAGTAAAAGGCTTAGACATCTGAGATTCTCCTTTTTGATTTTCTTGACTTTTCAGTAAGTTCTTAGATTTGGAAACATATTTCAAAATAACCAGGGTTTTTAGGATTTCATTTTTTTTGTTTTGTTTTCTAAAACTATCTTTGCAGACAGTTTCTATTAGATCTTTTATATATGTAGCATTTTATTCTTGTGATTTCTTTTTGCTCTGAGAAATTTGGTCAATTAGTGGCCAATAAATAATGTAAATAAATACCAACACTGAATAATGCTTTCACCAGTCATGATATGCATGTAATTATAATTATAATTATAATTATAATTATAACTATTTATTTCTAGACTACCCACTCTCTCTGAAGAGACTCAGGATGGTTTACACGTACAAAAAGGCAAGCATTAAATGCCTCGGGTGAGTACAAACATATCAAAACAATACACAATAAAGCAACAGTAATAACAGTGAGCTTCCAGCAATATATGGAATGAATATACGGATTGAATTGGACATGATTTTATCTTGGCGAACGGCTGTTATGTAATTTATCCTATATGTATTGGTTAATTTTAATGTTGATGTATGATATTTTAGATTTTAGTGTTAGCATTAAATCTTTGCTGTCAGCTGGTCTGAGTCCCTCTACGGAGGTAGAGAAGATCGGGATATAAAAGTTTATTTAAAAAATAAACAAGAATTAAGAATTGTGATGAAAAATGAAGCAAAACATTCCAATAAGACATAATTAAACTAAAACATAAGTAAACATTATAAAAAATACCCTAAAAGCAATTGAAAATACAGTTCCATTTAAAATGGCTTGTGCTAGTGTTCATTTGAGATGTAACGTGGCACCCTTATAGCACTAGTAGGAATAGCCAGCATTCCAATAGTTTCTTAGTCCTCCTCCTCTCCATACGTTAAAGTGCATAGGTGCATTTTTAGAAGTATCTTAAAGGAGAGGGAGTTCCAGAGATGGGGAGTGATCATGGAGAAGGCCCCCTCTCTCGTTCCCACCAAATGAGTTTGTGATGAAGGTGGGACCAAGAGGAGGGCCTCCTCTGTTGACTGCAGCGCACGGGGTGGTCTGCATGGGAAGATACAATTAGACACGTGACTTAATCGACATATTTATTTTTATCTTTTTGCAGGCTTCTTGCAATGAACATCTTATATGAATGTAACAAATCACAACAACAAATGCCTACATTTTCACATTAACACAGAGACTCAGAATTGCTTATTTTCCTCTCCTCCTTTTCTTACCTCTTCCTGGGTTCAATGAAAACAGTAGGTATATTGCCCGCAGGGTCCAAGATCTTGTCTATCTGCATCTGAGCCTTTCGATACATTCTCTGCTGCTCTTTGGTATCAATAATAACCATGTCATCCACAATAGGAAACTCGTAGTGTCCTTTCCGCTTCGCTCGAAGCCGAATCTTATTGCGATGATGCTCTATTTCAGATTTGTGCCTCAGGGCTGTTTGGATCTGTAATGAAAAGAAAAGGTGAGAAGCATTAAATGTGTTTTGGAACATACGATTTTCCTCTCTTGAGACAGAAAGGCATTGTGCAGGAAAGGGTAAACATCAGAAGAGAAATATTGAGCACACGTCGTGCTTGTACTTCATCACCTCCTCCTCCTGTTTATCATTCATCCACAGGTTGTGCAGGTAGAAGAATTATTATACACAGCATGATGATTAATACTGCAAGGGCAATTAAGAGAGTACACGAGCAGAGTGCTAATAAAAATGCATGACAAAGATAAGATTATTCTTCCTACAGACCATCATAAAAACAACACCTAGATGGAGGTGTCAGCTCATATGGTAAAACCAGAGTTTAGAAAGGTCACTTTGTTAGAGAACAGCCAGCATGGACAAGAGGCTAGACCAGACATGGACAAACTTTGGCCCTCCAGGTGTTTTGGACTTCAACTCCCACAATTCCTAACAGCTGGTAGGCTGTTAGGAATTGTGGGAGTTGAAGTCCAAAACACCTGGAGGGCCAAAGTTTGTCCATGCCTGGTCTAGACTGACTAAAGTATTCTGGCAGCCGTAGTCCAAAAAATGTAACCTGTCTGTATGTTTCTGTGTATAATATCCTCAAATGCTTTCTTTCTTTTTGAGTGCATTAACAAGAAGCAACATTAGTCTTAGAGAAGCTCACTTTTTTATTTCTCATCTGCATAAGCCACTCTTCTATAGACACGCATTCAATAAGTGTAAGAAATTCTCCCCTTTTTTGAATTGAGAATCATGCATAGTCAATAATCTTTTATGCAGAAAAACAACAGAACTCTCCGTCCATCTACAAGCTAGAGGCAAAACCAAAGCAGAAAGCTATACAGAGAGGCAAATGTCCACTGGTTCTGCACCTATCCCATTTATGCCTCCTCCTTTCATCAGTGCCTCAATAAAGATATGCTAATGGTCTTCCCTTTCTTTGAACTCTTTGCTGTAACAGACAGAAAGGAGCTGTCCTTTCTTTTTAAAAGCTCTCATGAACTCAATTTCTTACTACAATTGGCTGGTGTCCACTTTCAATTAAACACAGGTACAAATTGCCAAGTATGCATGTATTTGTCCACAAGTAAGTACTGCACACAGCATGCACGATACATTTGTGTATATACAACACATTTAGTGTCTGTGTATGTTTCCAGTTCAGGAAAGACATATAAGCACAGGCATCTAGATGCATGAACAAGATCACACTGGAAGTGGGGTTTTTTTAAATCTAAGAAAACAATACAATTACTACGTGTGTCGAAGGCTTTCATGGCCGGAATCACTGGGTTGTTGTGAGTTTTCTGGGCTATATGGCCATGTTTCAGAAGCACTATCTCCTGATGTTTCACCCACATCTATGGCAGGTATCCTCAGAGGTTGTGAGATCTGTTGGAAACTAGGCAAGTGAGGTTTATATATCTGTGGAATGTCCAGGGTGGGAGAAAAAACTCTTGTCTGATTGAGGGAAGTGTGAATGTTGCAATTGGCCACCTTGATTAGCATTGGCAAGAGTTCTTTCTCCCACCCTTTCCACAGATATCTAAATCTCCCTTGCCTAGTTTCCAGCAGACCTCACAACCTCTGAGGATGTCTGCCACAGATGTGGGCAAAACATCAGGAGAGAATGCTTCTGGAACATGGCCATACAGCCCAGAAAACTCACAGTAACCCAGTACAATGACTATTCCTATGGATGAGTATGGGTATAATAGAAAAAGCAAGTGCCTCCTTTTCCCAAATCCTTCCATTCTCACAATTACCCACATCACTGGGATTTATAGAGAAATTTATTTCCTAAAACTTGAGGTGATCTAGAGCAGGAATATAGAAAAGTGTCTCTCCAGGTGTTGGAATACAACTTGCATCAACTCTAGCCAGCAGAGTCAATGGTAAGGAAAAAAATCTACAAATTTTGCCCATCTCTCTTCTACAGCCTTCCCTTTGACCTTTTCTCATTTAGAGATTGGCTATAGTTTTGTCTGTCTCTCTTCTGGAGCCTTCCAAAGACATATTGTGACCCCTCCCTGAATTTTGGGAGTTGAGGTCAATGAAAATACTGTGTAAGTAGCAACCTTTTAGGAAATGTAGTTTTAAGGAAAGAAGTAGTAAATTCATCTCTATCAAAACTGCAATAGTACAGATAAAACTGCAATAGTACAGATCTTAGTGATGGAGTCATCACAGATTGTGAAAAAGTTAAAGAATGGATTACCTCCTTGTTAATTTTGTTGGTTTCTGCTACTCGATCAGAAAGTGGTTGATTCTGAACTGGAGGTGCTGCAATTGGCTGCATAGCAATCAGCTGGATCTTACTGGGCATCCTTCTACTGACTTCAGAGGATCGAGACATTCTGTCCACATGCTCAAAGATGGAGGCTGAAGAGTGTTGCTCTGTCCCATTGCTGATCTGTGGAGGACCTGCACAAAAAGAAGAAATAGAAGGTAGACAACTGTTGAACAGCCTTAGTCAAGGACCAAATAATGTAATTTTTGCACTCTGGACCACCTGATTGACTGATACATCGTATTATTTAAGTTATTTCCGAATTATGGTATCTTTAAGGCAAAGCTATCATGGGGCAAAAAAAAAAAAATCAGATGGGAGAGTTGTCTTTGTCTTTCTTTGAAACTAAGACAATATGCCTCATGCAAGGTCACCTGGGGGTTTCCATGGCCAAGTGGAAATTTGAACCCTGGTCTCAGAGAGTCCTACTCTAGCACTAGACCTGCTATATTACACTCACTTTCCATAATAATCCTGTTGGGACTTTCATGTCACTGGGGCAATTAATCCACTGAATGTTGCATCCTAAACATTAAAAAACTATATAATATATTGAGCTGTGTCCATCTAAAAGGTTCAGCACCTTGGACAGTTCCTTTAAAATCTGAGTAGATTCACTGGCTCACCATCACCATAAATATGACGGTCTGGCTCTCCTCTGCATCCTCTTTCCATGCACACTCAGGAAAATAATGACCTTGGCAGTTTACAGATCACTGCAAAAATCACAGTAAAAGCTTCTCCTTCACCCCACTTCCTAGTTTCCACTCAATCTTAATTCAGATTGCTATCCTGGCTCTGCTAATACCACAATTGGAGTTGAGTACTTTTGCCCATAGCTCCCAGGCTGTGTAAGCTGCACTGGAGTAGTTTCTCAACCAGAGTTCTGGTGAACCATAATGGTTTTGTTAAAGGTCACTAGGAGTTCCACAAGAGATATAATAACTTTTATGTAGATATTCTCAGAGATCCAAAAATTATTTCAAGAGTCCCATCAGAGTAAAAAGCTTGAGAAAAGCTGATTAAAATGTTATTTCCACTCGTTTCAGATCTACTATACCCGAAGAACCTATAAAACTCTGTAGATTGTCTCCCAAAGAGGGACTTGGGATGCAATATAGTTGAGCAGTTAAGAGAGTCAATAGCTCCTTGTTCTTGCAACTGAAAGATAACTACGCCCAACTCTCCACACAATGGGGACAAGGAAAGGCACCAAATGAAGTAGGCTTGACTTCTCAATGCCTTCAACTCCAGAATGACGTGTTGCTATAACTCACAGCTAGAGATGCGAGGGACTGCTTCTCAAGAAAGGCAGGCAATGAGAGCAGAAATCTCTTTTCTCTTTTGGGTGGAAAAGAGTTCATATTAAATGCAATGGGAAAGACAAATAGAGGGCAGTGCATGTTATAAGTTAATTAATTCCTAGAAGGTTTATTCACTACAGCCAGAAGAACAAATTAATTAATTCCTAGAAGGTTTGTTCACTGCAGCCAGAATGGATTCTCTGTCTAAAAATAGTTTTATTATGTTTTCCTAGTGTTATAAGGAATGCAAAAGTTATGTGATTGCTCTGGATAAACACACATTTAATTTTTGATCAGAATATGAAGAATGGTGAGATTTAAGATTATTAAAGCATAGCATAGGCAAAAACATATCATATTACTGCCTAGACCAAAGGTGAGGCTATAACCTAGCTCAGACAAAGTACTCAACTATAGTTCAGTGTGAAAAGAGTAAACTTAAAGCGCATTTGACCCCTTTTCTCATTTTGGAAGGGTCTTGCTCCCATTTTTAAAATGAGCTAGAATTCTGTCTAAACCTGGACATCTTATACTTGGTTCTAAGTATGGTTTATTAAAACAACCCAGCTTCGACCTTAATTATGAAGGTGGTTTGTTTGTGAAGGTAATATTCACAAATAATTGCAGTTTGGATAGAATGGCAATTAACTCAAAATAAAAGCAAAAATCTATGGTTTTCCTTGTGGAGGAAAGTAGAGGAGAAATCTTGAGACCAAGGACTTCACCACAATATTAAGTGTGAGTTATGGCCAAGCAAGACTCAAATATTAACTCTCAAATAGCTAGAATATTGAACAAGGATTCAAATATACTTTTTATTTCCTCTATCCACAGATAAAGATTTGAAACAGCAACAATAAAACCCGATGATGTATTGTATAGACAAATTTAAAGAACTGTCCCTCATCCATCCAGAATAGTGGATGAAAAACTTAGTTTTAAGTAAAAAGTAATACCCAATATCTAATATTCTTCCATATATTCCATATCTCTGCAGCATTGCACAGGTTTTTCCATACCTTTGTTACCCAAAATCTAAGAGTTGTAAGGCTTAATCCTTGGGCCTCACAAAGGCAATTGCCAGACCATTTTCAGATCAAACAAGGAGCTTGCTTGAGGCAATGCAGTTGCAGAACGTAAGATGCATGGAACAGCCAGCTGCTTGAGGGCGAAGTACATCTTGCAAATTTATGTATGTACACAATTGCACCTTTAGCTTTTCTTTTTTCACTTTCTATCTCTCCTGCACCTCCATTTCTCTTTTTTTAATGAACCCCCCCCCACAGATCTGACATTCTTTAGGATGAGAGGGCAGATCTTGAACCAGAAAATAACAAGTGGAGAAAGAGCTCCAGAACCCCAACGTCTACTGTTTCTGCTGTAAACTCAACCTTCCTAATGCCGTGACCCCTTAATACAGTTCCTCATGTTGTGATGACCTCCAACCATAACATTATTTTCATTGCTACTTCATAACTGTAATTTTGCTACTGTTATGAATTGTAATGTAAATATCTGATAGGCAGGATGTATTTTCGTTCAATTGATCAAATTTGGCACAAATACATGATACGCCAAATTTGAATACTGGTGGGATGGGGGGGACTGATTTTGTCATTTGGGAGTTCTAGTTGCTGGGATTTATAGTTCACTGAAAATCAAAGAGCATTCTGAACCCCATCAAAAATGGAATTGAACCAAATGAACCCAACCTGGCACACAGAACTCCCATGACCAACAGAAAATACTGGAAGGGTAGGGTGGGCATTGACTTTGAGTTTTGGAACTGTAGTTCACCTACTTCCAGAGAGCACTGTTGACTCAAACAATGATGGATCTGGACCAAACTTGGCACAAATACTCAATATGCCCAAATGTGAACATCTGGTGAAGTTTGGGGAAAATAGACCTTGACATTTGGGAGTTGTAGTTGTTGGGATTTATAGTTCATACTGTGTTTTTGATGGTCTTTGGTGACTCCTCTGACACCCCATCAGGGGTCCCGACCCCCAGGTTGAGAAACACTGTCCTATATAGTCTTGCTAGTAAACAGTAGACCACTCTTACATGCTTTAATGTGTGACATGCAGAAGGAAGGATACAGATCAGGGACACCGTTTTGCATGGAGAAGATGCCATGCAAAGATGCCCATGACATCTCCAATTAAATTGTGGTTGGACAATGAACTATATGCATGGGGTTTTCTGGGGCTGTTTTTGCGGGGTTCACAGCCCTACATTCCAGAGGCTATGGGGTGGTGGATACAGCCATAACAGGATCCACAATGTTAAAGTTTTCCTCTGGACCTAAAAAGGTTGTCCACTTCTGAGTTGAGTAAAACACTGCAACAGACCATAGACAGCCATTGCCAGAAAATACTTTCCAAACCAGTTTTGGACTGACCTAAAATTTGAAATGTTGCCCTTTAGCAGTAGATGCACATCTGTCATGGCACATTTCTGACTGGGTACAATTTGGAGAGCATCCAAAATGCCACTTTAAATTTTAAGCACTGAAAGATTACTCAATTGGACACATATTTGCAATTAAGATTCATCCTGTGCTCAGAGTTACTGCAAGACAGTCTCACATTCTTTTGGAAACTTACCGACTCTGTTGACTCCTGGCAGCATCCAAAGAAAAGATAGAGGCAGAGAAGTTATAAATTAAACAAACCATGACAGAAGGAAAGCCAGATGCTGTTAAAAATAACTCTTTTATGTGTGTGTCAATTCGTAAATTTTAGCAAGAATCAGTTGATTCAAATGTTCCAAAAAACACATGGCACAGGGCTTTTGAGAGTGTGCCACCAATGCAAGATTAATGTGATGAACTGTGTACTGTCATAATAGATGTGTTGTCCTGATATGCTATCTTCTCATACACAATGTTTTGATATTGAGCTGCTTTTAAACATAAGATCCTGCATTTTCATTTTATATCAAAATATAACTTTTTCTTTTTTTGCCCTTGAGAATCGGAATCAAATTGGACTCACTAGTACTGAGTATCATACAAATATATTGTCGAAGGCTTTCATGGCTGGAATCACTCAGTTCTTGTGGGTTTTTTCGGGCTATATGGCCATGTTCTAGAGGCATTTCTCCTGACGTTTCGCCTGCATCTATGGCAAGCATCCTCAGAGGTGAGGACCTCACCTCTGAGGATGCTTGCCATAGATGCAGGCGAAACGTCAGGAGAAATGCCTCTAGAACATGGCCATATAGCCCGAAAAAACCCACAAGAACTGAATCATACAAATATATTGATTTTATCCTCACAATTCTTCCACTTAATTGCGTATCAGAGAGGTTGTTAGTGCCCATTTAACAGTAACATTAGCAGTCTTAACTAAAAGCTACTAAGTTTGACCTGAACTCAGTACTTAGCCTTCTGTTGGTTAGTCCCAACTAGAGCAGACCTATCTAATTGACTTTTGAATGTTGAACAAATACGTAGATAAAACTCACTGACTGAATAGTCATCTCTGAGCCAATGTGAGCCTATGCTGCAGCTCAATAAAAATATATTTGAATACAAAACTTTCTATTAGCTAATATAGCATGTTATAGCTATAACCATAGGATCCCTCAGTAGCACAATGAGTGCTACCTTGTGCCGGCATGACTGTTAACTGACAGGTTCGAATCCGGGAAGAGTGGTTTGAGCTCTATCAGCTCCAGCTTCTCATGRGGGGTCATGAGAAAAGCCTCCCACCGGATGGTAAAACATCCAGGCATCCCCTGGGCAATGTCCTTGCAAATGGRCAATTCTCTCACACCTGAAGCAACTTGCAGTTTAACAAGTCATTCCTGACATATAAAAAAAGTTATAACCATAAATAAGGGAKATTATGGAGGAAGCTAACACATATTGCATGTTGGTCTATGAAAGCATTCTGAGTTTTTAAAGCTTTTTCTTTTTAAAAAAGGGTTATGGTATGACCCCTGTACTCACAATACTGGTCCTCAGTTTCACTCAAATGCATCCAGCAAAATGCGCCAGCTGGAAGTTACCACTGAGTTGCCCTGAAGGAACTAGAAAATTCCTAGGAAAGATACATCTCTAGCTATTTTCTAGGTCGTCCAAGATGACTTAATGGTAATGTTCAGTGGAAGCCATTCATTTCAATAGGATTCACTATTATCCACAGTTTCCTGTTCCATAGTATATCCAGTAACATATATCCGGAAGATATGGGGCCATACTATAGTTTTTAAATTGCTTTTAGCCGGCCCGAGTCCCCTCAGGGAGACAAGACAAGTTATAAATAAAGTTGTTATTTATTTATTTATTTATTTATTTATTTATTATTATTATTATTATTATTATTATTATTATTAAATGTTTTAAATGTATAGTTTTAATTGTTTACAATTTTATTAATCATTTTGTTCCATTTTAATGCTGCATTTTTGCGTGCTTTAACTGTATTGCATTTGTCCTAATTTTGGGGAACAGCCATGTTATAAAGAAAAAAGGAATAGCGACACACAGTTTTGTGTGAATTTTTAGAGGGGTGGCTGTGTTTGCATGTTGCAGCAAAAAGAGTTGTGAGCTATGTTTGTGTGTTTACAAGGAATAGCAACATATACAAAGAATATACACAAAATGTATTTCAAGTTGCACCACAGGAAACTGGGACTGGTTTTTCCATTCCCAGCACTTATTCTAGCCCTGCCACATGCATAATGGAGGACCTTTCCACAGCGACACCAGAGGAACTCCAAGTGGCCAGCTTCTAGTCAAAAGAAATCTAATATAATGCCAAGTTTTTAACTTTGTTTGTGTTTTCTTAAATACATTATAACTGTACCCTCAATTCACTTCTGACGATACATAAATAAGTACCCATTCTTCTATGATTCATCAGTAGACATTGTTATAAATGGGTTGTTGTAGGTTTTTCGGGCTGTATGGCCATGTTCTAGAGGCATTCTCTCCTGACGTTTCACCTGCATCAATGGCAAGCATCCTCAGAGGTAGTGAGGTCTGTTGGAACTAGGAAAAGGGGGTTTATATATCTGTGGAATGACTCGGGTGGGACAAAGGACTCTTGTCTGCTGGAGCTAGGTGTGAATGTTTCAACTGACCACCTTGATTAGCATTTGATGGCTTGGCAGTGCCTGGAGCAATCTTTTGTTGAGAGGTGATTAGATGTCCCAGATTGTTTTCCCTCTGTTGTTTTGCTGTTGCAATTTTAGAGGTTTTTTAAATACTGGTAGCCAGATTTTGTTCATTTTCATGGTATCCTCCTTTCTGTTGAAATTGTCCGCATGATTGTGGATTTCAATGGCTTCTCTGTGTAGTCTGACATGGTGGCTGTTAGAATGGTCCAGCATTTCTGTGTTCTCAGATAATATGCTGTGTCCAGGTTGGTTCATCAGATGCTCTGCTATGGCTGACTTCTCTGGTTGAAGTAGTCTGAAGTAGTAAACCTCACTACCTCTGAGGATGCTTGCTATTGATGCAGGCAAAACGTCAGGAGAGAATGCCTCTAGAACATGGCCATACAGCCCGAAAAACCTACAACAACCCAGTGATTCCGGCCATGAAAGCTTTCGACAATACATTATTATAAATGCTTCTAGGATTATGAAAGCCATGATGTAAAGAGGAATATAACATACCAGCCTTGGTCACTCGGTGGGGTTTGACTTCATTGACAGCAGTCTGTGGTCTTGCAGTTTCTTCTCCCGTTTCTCGACCACTTGACTGTTCACTTGCAGTGGAGTCAGCATCAGAAGGGGAAACTCTACAAATAAAAAAACACCCAAACCATTTAAAAGTGCATCATTATTAGCATCACGTGCATTTACTTTCACTTCTTTGCTTTGATGTAACATCAGGGGAACTGCACAGGATTGTGAGGCATCATCTCATGCAGTTGCTGACCAAACTCCAGCTTGTTTAATTCCAGCATATTGCATCATATGGCTCCAGATCAAGAAAATGTACAGAGATGTACCAGAAAGGCCAACCCAAATAAATACCAGCTAATTAAAACAGACAATCTTTGCCCGTTTGAGCAGGACTTTTCCTCTGCTTTCAACTGCATTCATTATCACGATTCATTATTGGTCAGACAGAAAAATAATGCTCTATATAACTCATGTAAGCAGGTTACTGATGAAAAAAATTCAAAGGGTGAATATAAGTGACATTTAATTGTCCCTCTATCTGAGCTCCAGCAGTGAAGAAAAGCAAGACCCACCCAGTAGGAACTAGTGTCAGAAATTCATTAAAGCTCTTTCTCCCTCTCCCAGAGTTTTAATAAGAAATGGTGACTCAGTAGTGCTCTAGCTCTTTGAATTTCTATTCCTCTGCTTTGCACTTATAATTGATTTAATTATGTCAAGAATGGTGCTATGAAGAATGGCACTGAATTTAACTGCATCATGGGGGCTGCAGAGATTGTGGAAAAAACATCTGGTCTTGGAAAATCTTAGAAAATACAAAGCCATTTGGGGAACGTGCTCTATGTGGGGTTGACTCTGAAGACTGTTCTAGAAGCATTCTCTCCTGATGTTTCACCTGCATCTATGGCAAGCATCCTCAGAGAACCCTGAATTTTTCCAAAATGGGTTTGATGCCTGGGTTAAATGATGGCACAAATGTGTACAAATTGATGGTGATTATGTTGAACTGTAGTTTTGCATAGAGGATAATTCAGGCTATGATCTGTAGCAACTCAGTTGCTACAGCGAGCGGCAGCCAGGTTGCTCATTGGAGCGGCACTCAGGGAGCACACAACCCCCTCTTGCGTCAGCTCCACTGGCTGCCAATTTGCTACCGAGCACAATTCAAGGTGCTGGCTTTGGCCCATAAAGCCCTAAATGGTTCTGGCCCAGGCTATCTGTCCGAATATATAGTCCCATACGAACCAGCGTGGAGACTAAGATCATCTGGGGAGGCCCTGCTCTTGGTCTCACTGGCCTCACAAGTGCGTGAGAGACAGGGCATTCTCAGTGGTGGCCCCTCGGTTGTGGAACTCCCTCCCTAGCAACATCAGAGCAGTCTCCTCCCTATTAGCCTTTAGGAAAAGAGTCACAACCTGGCTCTGGGAGAACGCTTTTGGAAACTAGGGCAATGCAGTATTCTGAATCAAAAACTTTGTGCAATTTGACCTTACAATGGACGCAGACCATGAACTTTGGATGGTGTGTTTTTAATTTTAAATTTGTTTTAACTTTGTCGAATATGTTGCAATTTTAAATTTTTAGGTAATTGTCGCTGAGGTACGATGTATGTGCCACTGTAAACCGCCTTGAGTCCCCATGCTGGGGTAGAGAAGGGCGGAGTACAAGTATGGAAAATAAATAAATAAAATAAATAATTTGCTAATAGTAATCTTCTCTCAGTTTGCCCATTATCTTGTTTCTCATGGATGAGAATCACACCCTTCTCCAAATGATGGTGGACCGCAAATCCCAGCATGCAGCTTGAAGTTTGAAAATATCTAAAAGATGCATGTTTCTTATCTTCCCCAATACTACATCCTAAAGCATTCTCTAATACTTCTGGAACTGAAAAAAATATCACCACAATTAAGAAACCCAGCAGACGAATTTAAGAAAGAACCAGACACAAATCCCTGTGGATTAGTGTAAACAGCAAGTTCCTAAGCAAAGGCTATTCAAACTGAGAAAAAGCAAAATAATCCCCCCATAACTAATTAACTTTAATCTGTGCCAAGCAATTTCTCATCATCCGAACTGACCTCCCTCTGTGTCGGACATTCTTGGATGGCTTTGAAGAGATCTTGGTCTTGGGACTCGGCAGGTCACCGTTTTCAGATGGGGTGGTGTCCTTAATTGGTCCTGGCAGAGGAGTCGGCTCATGTATGATCAGGATGTCATCTTTGTTGTGCTGCCCTAAATGCTGCTTTGCAAAATCAAAGCCCTTCACACTGGGGGCTTGCAGCTACAGCGTTTGGGGGGAGGGGGTGAACGAGGGAAAAAAAGGGAAAAGCAATCATGAGTTAACATGACACATATGCAAGATTCATCATCTGGATGATGAATCTGAAGTACTGCAGTATGACACTGTAACCAGAAAGTAGTCAGAGATACATGAATGACTGCAAGGTGTAAGTGATAACTGTTTCCATTACTATGGGTGCATCTAAATTCTAGAAACAATGCAGTTTAATATCACTTTAACTGCCATGGCCCAATGCTATTTGTTTATTTACCATATTTATATACCACCTTTCTCAGCCTGGAGGTGACTCAAGGCAACTATGGAATCCTGGAAGTTGTAGTTTGGCGAGGCATTTAGCCAGCTTTAGCACAGCAGGTTAATCACCAACTGTAGCTGCAGTAAATCTTTCCAACTGAAAGGCTGACAGTTTGAAGCCATATCAGGGTGAGCTCCTGACCTTCAGCCCAGCTCCCTGCCCACTGAGCAGATCAAAAACAGCAATATGAGCAGATGAACAGAAACCGCATTAAGCAGGGAGGTATTTTAGGCATGGCATTTTGGAGGAAAGTTTACAAAGAAAGCTATCTGGCAAGGAGATGGAGCGATAACACCCCCCAGGGACCAGAACTGAGCACAGCCTCCAAAGATGCTGAATGATGAGAAAAAGCGGCAATAGTATGATAGCTAGGACCCTACACTAGTTGTGCAATGCGGGTCTGAATTAATGAAGAGAACATGTGCACGAGTAAGCGGAGTGAGTGAGAGACGCAGCTGGGAGAGGACAGCAGTGATGTCCTCTCCCAGTAGTTAATTCACGTGTGACAGGAGAAGAGTGAAGTAATGTAAGTTATTTAATGTTAAATGATAAACAGTGGCTTACAAAAACCTTAAACAGGATAGAAATGAGCTATCTGTGCCAAAAGATTGATCGTATTTTCCCCTTCCTTTTTATCCTTCCTTCCATTGCAACGACTCCACCATAGCTGCATCTCTCACTCAGTGCGCTCACTTGCACACGTGTTCCCCTAATTCAGATCCACATTGCATAACCAGCGTAGCATAGGGTCCCAGCTATCATACTATTGCTGAAAAAGCCTATATATACCTCTATTTGTTGCCTGTCTTGTCATTGTATAATTGGCACTGAATGTTTGCTGTATATGTGTTCTGTGATCTGCCCTGAGTCCCCTTCAGGATGAGAAGGGTGGAATATAAGTACTGTAAATAAATTAGCAGAGAGGACCTTGTGAAGTTCTATGTTCTGTGAGTTCATAGCATTGAGCTATGACAGTTAGGGATGCCAAACTACATTAATCCAACAGTGTAGAGGTACCTTCTCTGATAAATGAGGTTGCTGAAAGGTCAGTGGTTATATTCAATCTGGACTTTTGTCACATAGAATTGACTATCTGTTTTGACTGCTGTTCAAAAGTATAAAATTACTCAAATAACTTTCAGGAGCACATTGCTAATAAAATGAATCAAGACTACAACTTCTAGATCAAGGGCCCCCAAACTAAGGTCTGCAGGCCAGATGCAGCCCTCCAAGGTAATTTACCTGCCCCCCACCCTAAACTTTACACTTAGCGTCGTTTAAGCATGTAATGACTTCAAGGCACACTACAATAATCCTAAGTAACTTGACCATTTCATCAGTCAAAAGCAGGTCCATTTTTCCCATTGAAATACTAATAAGTTTATGTTGATTAAAATTGTTCGTCATTTCAATACTGTATTGTTCTTGCATATGTTTTTTGCATTACAAATAATCTATGTGTAATGTGTATTGGAATCCATTCTTTTTTTCCAAACAACAGCCCCCCCCCCCCCCCCCAACTGTTTGAGAACATGAACTGGCCCTCTGCTTAAAAATTTTGAGAAACTCTGTTCTAGGTTCTCAGTGGATACTGGGTATTCCGTGGGCTAGGATTCTCCTAAGTGCCCTTTTCAAGTTCTGCCAAGGAGGCATTCCACAGTGAAATACAGAATGCACCTGGGTATGTTTGGAGACATTATCAAATAAAAAGTAGATGGATCAGGGAACCCGTCACTATGTCGATGTTGGACAATGTATGGTCACACAGCCCCCTATCTGGAGTGTAGTGCAGCCAAGGGATGTTTTTTTATTTGCAAGCCCAGGGCTGGCATTTTGTTACAAAAGCATAAACTAGGCTATTGTATTCATAACTGTTCCATATTCATGTCTATGATTATGGCACTATTGCCATGGTTGCAAATGCTTCCAGCTCACTGAGGTTTCTTTTGTTGGCAGTCAAGGTGCAACAGGATGACATTTACAGCCTCTTTTCACCAGCAATCTGAAATGCAACCAACGAAAGCAGAACCTTATTACAATTTCTCACTGAGCCACAGATTGTGACAGGAAGGGGCTGGAAACCTCATCCTGTTGCACCCTAATTGCTAGTAGAACATACTTTTGTCACTTGGTGCATCTGCTGCTCTCTTAAGGTAGGTTTGGGGAGACATTGCACTTTTATAACCACATCTGTGATGTAGGATCTCATACCGTCTGCCACCTCCCTTGGATTTCCTCATTTCCTCTTGAGTTTAACCACAATCCCCACAGTAGCTGGAGTGATCCTCTTAGAAGTATTGTATTAGTATGAGCAGTTTCTCTCGTGGTCCCAGTCATTTGGAGGTTATTTGCCTTTGAGTGAGCAAGACCCATTAAATCAGTTTATAAGAGACAATGAAAATGGCAAGAAACTGCAGACAGTGGCCTTCATGTTTCAGTTCTCCTTGATCACATCAGCATATGAGACCATCATTATGTCAACACGCCTTTCAAAATTTACAACTATGATACTGTTCTTACCTACCTATGTTTCAAGGGAAAAGTGGGAACGGCTAGGGGTCCTTTCATACTGTATAATTATAGCATATCATGCTTTCCTTGCCATGGCTACACCCTATTTGTTAGGGAACCCTATTTGTTCATGCCACATTATCACGGGGTGTCTGCGCCCTACACCACTGGAGAAATTACACTGTTTAGCCGGTATTGCACCACCTGACATCCGCCGGGAAGTAGCAGCCAATAGCGAAAGGACCAAGGCAGAGACATCTCCAGCTCATCCCCTGTTTGGGTATCAGCCAGCACGTCAACGACTTAAATCTAGAAATAGTTTTCTAAGATCTACAGAGACACTCGCTGGAACACCTCAGCAAGCGAGAGTCCAAAAGTGGCAGGCTCAAACCCAGAACCTCAACCAATGGCTGATACCAAATGAGAGGCTCCCCCCTGGGCACACAGAGGACTGGGCGACTTGGAAGGCGCTGAACAGACTGCGCTCTGGCACCACGAGATGCAGAGCCAACCTTCAGAAATGGGGCTACAAAGTGGAATCCTCGACATGCGAGTGTGGAGAAGAGCAAACCACTGACCACCTGCTGCAATGCAACCTGAGCCCTGCCACATGCACAATGGAGGACCTTCTTGCAGCAACACCAGAAGCACTCCAAGTGGCCAGATACTGGTCAAAGGACATTTAATCAACTACCAAACCTCACAAATTTTGTATTTTGTCTGTTTGTTTGCTTTGTTCTGTTAGAAATGTAATTTAATTGACTGGTTGCCCTGACACGATAAATAAAACCCTATTTGTTCGTGTGCTTTGCAGTTTGGTTATGGAAAAGATCCCTTTGTTTGCAAATTTGGAAAAGCTCTCCATAAATTGCTAGTCCCAGGATTCCATAAGCTAGAAGCATGGCAGCTGAAGTTGAGTCATAGTGGTATACTGGTATTGCAACAGGATCCTTACTGACATGAGATTACCAGTGAGGAGGATTGGCTTTGAAATATCTACTTGGAGCACTCCTAATTTGCTTGTAATATCTTTAGTCTGTAAAAATCAGGGGAACACTTGATCTTGAAGCAGAAGTTGCAGAACAGAGATTTCCAGAATCTTTCTTGCGCATAAATATAAAGAATGCATGATTATTTTTTTTCTACTGCTCATGCTGATACAAAATGGCATGCAATGTTTACTCAAACAACACTGAATAAATTCAGTTACAAGCATGAAACTGCTGTTACTGGCAATCTCAATCCTACTGCATAAGAAGTTAGAATGGCTTGCATTGTCAAGTCTGAACCAGCAGGTGGAGATAAAAAGCTTTAAGCAGGGCAAGGTATTTCTGTCTACATGCCTGTGCACTGCATCATAGATGATCAACATAACAACCACATGCTCATATTAATAGTTCAATCATAAGCAAGACATGCAACAAAATGTTTTATTCCTGAGGTCTTTAAGAGGATATGTTGCCAGCCATGTCCTCTTTTTGGAGTAGCCAAACCATTGCCTTCGGTCTGCGTGTGGTTCTCGGGATATTTTGGGGACCCTCAATCCTTTCAGAGTTCTATAACAACCCTATTTCTGCTCCTCCAAAAAGACAGATGAATTAATGCTCCTGGAACCTACAAGAGTCGCAATTTATCTTTTAGGCAGCTTGTATGTCCCACTGCACTATTTTAACTGGAAAATGTATTTTTAGAAACCATTGGAATTCTGGCCACCTTTTTTGGTTCATTTTCCCCAGGTAGCTTTCAGGCCTGCTACAGTTCCCTATTACTGGTTTATGATACTGTAAAGGCAGAGACTGGTAACTGGTAGTGTTGGCCTACAAATCACATCAGTACTATCAATCAAGGCTGTGGAGTTGGTACACCAAACCTTTGACTATATTTCGAACTCATCTACTTTTCTACGATCCAACATTGATTTCTTCATAAGTGGCAGGTGTATATTAATTAACAGTATCTGTATTAAAAGGCTAGCATATGGCATTTAATCTCCCACATAAATCATCAGGCTATTTAAATTGATACAAGATACGTTTATGAAATATATAAATATTATACACACCATGTGGCTCTTAATGAGACATGCCACATTATCACGGGGTGTCTGCACCCTACACTACTAGAGAAATCACACTGTTTAGCTGGTATTGCACTACCTGACATCCGCCGGGAA